ACATATCAATGCTTTAAGGGATACTGACAATAGCCTGGTATACCATCCCAAACAGATAAACTCTATATTAAAGCAATTTTATTGAGATCTATATTCACCACAAAAGATGGATGCATTGGGAGGAAAAGAATTTGTGCGGCAAGTTCCTCTCCCGAAAATATCCTCAGAAGCTTTAGCAGTCCTTAGTAGTCCCATATCAATGGAAGAAATTAATGGAATAATTAAGCAACTTCCAAAGGAAAAAGTCCCAGGACCAGATGGCTATACAGGGGAGTTATATACAATATTACAAACACAACTTTCCCCAATATTACATGCATTATATTCTGACATATGGTCTGGAGCGGACTATTTGAATACAGGAAAAGAGGCCTATATAAAGGTGTTGCCTAAGAAAGGAAAAGATCCAACACAACTGGGGTCGCACCATCCAATATCATTACTAAATGTGGATGTAAACATTTTCTCAAAATTAATAGCGTAACGTCTATCCTTGATTTTACCCACTTTAATATAAGCAGCCAAGGTTGGGTTAGTCAAAGGCCGCTCAGCAGTTTTGAATACATGTAAAGCATTGGCTGCTTTTAAATTTGCGAAAAACAATCCAAAAAAAAGAAATAGCCTTGATAACAATTGATGCTGAAAAGGCATTTGACAATATGGACCTGGCTTGGTCAGTTGAAGTCGTGCAAAACATGTTTTCTTTTTTAGGACAGTTAATGCACTTTCTTTCAATTATGTATAAAAACCTGGTTGCTGGAGTATATACCCCAGGATTTATTTCTACCTCTTTGCAAACAGGTAATTTTTCTCCTTCACTGATGTGTGTTTATGAGGCTGCACGTATAGGCAGCACTGATAAGGTGGCATGGATAATCAGCACTGATATGCAGCAATGATGGGCACTGATAGGTGGCACTACTGCTAGACACTGGGCAGCACTGCTAGGCAGTGCTGATGGGGGGGATTGCTGGGCACAGGTGGGTGACAGTGGTGGGCAGCACTGCTGGGTACTGATGATCAGTGCCCATCTGTTCTTTGACAATTGCTGGTTATCGGCAGTACTTTCCTCATGCTGTGACAGCGTGAGGAAAGTGCAGGCAATAACCGTCAACTGTATTTACCCGGTGATATGCTGTGTCATTGGACACAGCAATCACGGAGATCGCCGAGGGCACGTTCTGGGAGGATGTCATATGACGCCCTTCCAGAACTGGACAATCGCGCTGTAGCCATCAGTCAGCTATAGCTCGGTTGCCAAGTGGTTATTTGAATTAGATGAATAATTAGATTATATTTATATGGGAGGTTATATATAATATTAGCCAAGTAAGATATGGCATAACCGTAATATCAGTATAATAATAAATAATGTCAATAGACCAGTGGTCCTGTATATCTGACAAATAGATACTATTAGGAGGCAGTCGGAAGTTCTAATAATAAATTGTCAGATTCATAATATATGTGTTACAAATAACTGTACTTCACTGGTTATCGGGACAGACTAAAACATTTAATGTGAAAATGGCTTAATGTAGCTTAACGTGTAATAAACTGCCTAAATCTCAATCAATTGACTTGAAACTTTGCACAGCCCAAGATCTCAACCTCCCAAACATGTCCTAGAAGTTTCATAGATTTCAGCCTTCCACAAAGAAAATGGGGGACATTAAGCTTGTTTTTTGGGGAGATTAATGTGGCTTAACGTACAAAAAAGAGCTTAGATGTTGACCAATCTCCCCCAAACTTTACACAATAGAAGACTCTATCTATGTCAACATATTCTGAAACTTTCAGATCATTTGGTAAATCACACCAAAAGTTATTCACATTAAGCTATATTTTACAGTGCTAAAACATTTAATGTGAACAGCTTAATGTAAAAAGAGCTTAACGTACCATAATGTGCCTAAATATCAATCAATTGACTTGAAACTTTGCACAGCCCAAGTTCTCAAAGTCCCAAACATGTCCTAGAAGTTTCATAGATTTCAGCCTTCCACAAAGAAAATGGGGGACATTAAGCTTGTTTTTTGGGGAGCTTAATGTGGCTTAACGTACAAAACAAAGCTTAGATGTTGACCAATCTCCCCCAAACTTTACACATTAGAAGACTCTATGTCAACATATTCTGAAACTTTCAGATCATTTGGTAAATCACACCAAAAGTTATTCACATTAAGCTATATTTTACAGTGCTAAAACATTTAATGTGAACAGCTTAATGTAAAAAGAGCTTAACGTACCATAATGTGCCTAAATATCAATCTATTGACTTGAAACTTTGCACAACCCAAGTTCTCAATGTCCCAAACATGTCCTAGAAGTTTCATAGATTTTGATTTTTCACAAAGCAAGTGAGTGACATTAAGCTAAGACCTAGACACAGGGGTAGAGGCTTCTTCCCACCCAAATCTATACGAAGCCTCCAGTCTGCAGCCCCTGATCCAAGAATTACAAAACCCAGAGAAAGTAAAAAAACTTAGTTTTCTCCACTCGGAAAAACTATTCTGGAGCCTCTCGCACACATGCGACTCGTGTTGTCTTGAATCCCACTAATACAATGGCAGGGCAAAAGATCAGTTCAGGAGGCAGGCAAAAAGCATGGTTGATTTTAACAGGCCAGGGTCAATTCACATGGAAGGCAGAAACGTGGTGGATAAGTTAAAGCAGCAGGCAAAGGCATCGTCAATAAACAGTCCAGAGTCAGTTCAGGCGGCAGGCCTGAGGCATGGTCGTTAAATTTAAATAGTCTAGGTCATACGGGAAAATTGCAGATAGTGCAATATGGTGACTATGGTTTTATCGGTCTATTAAACATTTGAATCAGACATATTGACCGCTGGCTGTGTACGTCATTGCATAATTAATCTGGCTTTCACCACGAGCGCTCTGATTTTCTTGGTTTTATCAATATCACATCACATTCCTAATGGTCATCGGAGCAGCTGTGAGACTGTGCTTTGTCAATTTTACTTCTACACTGTGAAATATGTTGGTCACTGGTATAGATGTGGATTTGGCACTGGTAATGTGTGACAGATATTGATCACTGGTACAGATGTGGATATTACACCGGTAAAGTGACCACTGTTACACTGACAGATGTGAATTTGACACTGATGCGCTGTGACAAATGTGGACCACTAGTACACTGTGACAGATGTGGTCTACTAATACAAATGTGTAAGCTTCCTAGTGCCAGATCCAATGTATAATGCAAATGTATGGAAGTATGGATCGCTCATGGCAGGGCACAGAGACAAATCAGCATGTTTACAATCCGATAGATAGAATCAAAACAAGAGTACTAGTTGAATTTTTGCAGCCTTGATTTCCTTTTTTTAGATTATGTTCTAATCTTTATAACTTTTAAATGATGATCGTGTTCCTTCATTGTTATATATTTTTAAATGCCATTTTCTTATTCTTTATAGCATTTGACATGAGGTATATAGGTTTTATGTTTAGCCTTTAAACATTTTGCCCATGGGAATATACACTAACCAGCCACTTTATTAGGGACACCTGTTCAATTGCTTGGTAACACAAATTGCTAATCAGCCAATCACATGGCAGCAACACAATGCATCTTAAATCCCCTTTCTTCCCCATTCTGATGCTCATTTTGAACTTCAGCAAGTAGTCTTCACCAAGTCTAGATCCCTAAGCATCTAGATGTGGTGAAGACGACTTGCTGAAGTTCAAACCGAGCATCAGAATGGGGAGGAATGGGTATTTAAGTGAGTTTGAACGTGGCATGGTTGATGGTGTCAGACAGGCTGGTCTGAGTATTTCAAAAACTCCTGATTATTCACGCACAACTCTAGGGTGTACAGAGAATGGTCCAAAAAAGAGAAAATATCCAGTGAGTGGCAGTGCTGTGGACGCAAATGCCTGGTTGATGTCAGAGGAGAATGGGCAGACTGGATGCTGTGGCATTCAGATGGTAGGTGTAAATGGCATAAACAACATGAAAGCATGGTTCAATTCTGCCTTGTATCAACGGTTTAGGCTGGTGGTCGTGGTGTAATGGTGTGGGGGAAATTTTCTTGGCACTAGCAAGGTGTACCTAGTAAAGAGGCCGGTGAGTGTATATTGCAGTGTTTGCATTCAGTCGATTTGAAGAATTCCCATTTCTATTCTGTGTTCCTTAATGACAATATTTCCTCCCAGTCTAAGTCTTGAAGAGCATCCCTTTGAAAATTTGTTCTGATTAAGTGTTTCCAATATATGCACAGCTTACATTAAATGAAATCATGTTGGTCACTGCTACCCAGATGTTCTTTTATATGAGCATTAGAAATAGGCTCCTCATAATTTGAGATTCCTTGGTTGAGCAGAGCATCATTTCTAGTTTTGGCTTCTGTAACCTGTACCAAAAAATTGTCTTGTGGCAGTTTTACAAATTTAGTTCTTGAACAGATCACCATACTTGCTCCATTCCATTCACCTGTGTTTTAAAGGCAGCAATGGCTGCTTCCTTTGCACCTTGTCTGGAAAAAAGAGAATTTTGGACCACTGTAGCAAATTGCACACACCGTCCTCGAGCATGTTTTACATCTTATTCAGATGTCAACTTTAATATTGTAGGATAAAAATGGGAATTAATGTATGCCCTAAATGGGCAATCTTGTATGAAGTTTTACACTGGGCCTCATTATTAAAGGAACTGAGGGAAGTTGTGTCTCCATGTGTGTTACTCATAACAAGTAGATTATTTGATGCCTAATCTACATCCATATGATTGATGCAGAGAAAGTTCCTTTCTTAGACACTTGGCCAACCCAGGCCCCGTTATAATTGCTATAATTTTTTTTTTTTTACAATTTGCTGGTATCAAATGGACAATAACCTCCATGTAATGATGTATAAATTGTGGCATCTTACATTTCCAGTATGATTTTTGTGCCTGATGGATGGCTGTAGTCTATAAAGTTAATTCCTATAACTACACTTAAAATTCTTCAAGATCTAATCTGAACTGTTATTTTTAGAAACTAAAACCAGAGCCAGAGGTAACTGATGTGCGAGAGAAGCCAAATCCTGATCCACTGACAACCTCCCTCACTGTGACCAGCTCATCTGACCTTACTGACTCACGAGAGATGAACTTTGAGTACTTGAAACATGTTGTGTTAAAGTTTATGTCTGCGCGGGAAGCAGAGGTAAGCAACATGCATAATGATAGAAACAATTTGTTACTTTTACCCCCTTCCTGACCAGGGCAATTTTCAGCTTTCAGCGCTATCACACTTTGAATGACAATTGCGCGGTCATGCAACACTGTACCCATATGAATTTTTTAGCATTTTTTTGAGAAAGATAAAACTTTATTTTGGTGGTATTTATTCACCGCTGGGATTTTATTTTTTTTTGCTATGTAAATGAAAATGTCTAAAAATTTTGAAAAAAAGTGTTTTTCTTATAAAATTTTGCAAATAAATAATATTTCATCATAAATCTTGGCCAAAATTTATTCCGTTATCTTTTTAGTAAAAAAAAATAAGCCAAATTAGTTTATAACCAAAAATGATCATTTTTAAACATTTTTTTTTTACATTTAAATTTTTTTTTTATATTATTTATTTTATTATTTTTTTTACATACTGTCACCCTAGCAGTACAGTGTCGCCATGGTGACACTTTACTACTTTTGGGGGGTGATGAAGATTTTTTTTTTTACACTGATTGCTTTTACACCCATATAGGATGTAAAAGCAATCATTTCTCTTTCTCTCTGTCTGCATTCTTGCAGCCATTGAGAACTACTGATTCACAGATTTGACATGTAGTAAGCAATGATGTCCGAAGTGACATCTTGCTTACTGCTTTGCATGTGATCACTGATTGGCCAATCAGTGATCACATGATCGGGACCTCGTACAGAGGTCCCGTCCGACGATCTGTGTTTCACTGTGTCCGGAGGACACAGCGGGCACTGGCTCGCGGTGCTGCGTGCTCCCGGGGAGCTCGCACAAGCAGGGTGCGGGGAAGCCGTTTATAAACGTCCACTCGACCCTGCAGTGCCACTGTCCGGCCGTTTATGTACAACGGCCGGTCGGGAAGTGGTTAAAGGGACCCTGCTGCTAGAAAAGAAAATGCAAGTATAACATAAAAGCACTTGGAGCAGCTTGAAATAGATGTCAGATATAACTAAATGCCATGTCATTTAGAAAGGCAAAGCTCTGAGCTTGCCAGTAAGTCCCAGCTAATCACATTCTTTTTAACTCAACACTATGAAGGGTTGCTTGTCTGGAGAAAAAGAATGGGCTGGTGACTGAAAGTGGCCAGCAAGCTTTGGCACTGGGAGGAAGTTGTTAAAGCTTCCTTTGTCAGAATTGCCAAGAATTCAGCCTTATCTGAAGGCTTTCTGAAGCTTCTGCAGGTACAGTGAAGGAAATAAGTATTTGATCCCCTGCTGATTTTGAATGTTTGCCCACTCACAAAGAAATGATCAGTCTAAAAATCGAATGGTAGGTGTATTGTAACATTAAGAGACAGAATAGCAACAAAAAATTCTACATAAATGCATGTCTAACAAATTATGCACTGATTTGCATGTTCATGAGGTAAATAAGCATTTGATCCCCTATCATTCAGCAGGATTTCTGGCTACCATGTGTCTTTCATACAGGTAACAAGCTGAGATTAGATGCAGTCTCTTAAAGGGAGTGCTGCTGATCTCATTTTGTTACCTTTATAAAAGACACCTGGCCACTGGAGCAATCAAACAATCAGATTCCAAACTCTCCACCGTGGCAAAGACCACAGAGCTGTCCAAGGATGTCAGGGACAAGATTGTAGACCTACACAAGGCTGGACTGGGCTACCAAACTATCGCCAAGCAGCTTTGTGAGAAGGTGACAACAGTTGTTGCAATCATTCGCAAATGTAAGAAACACAAAACAACTGTTAGTCTCCCTAGGTCTGGTGCACCATGCAAGATCTCACCTCGTGGAGTGTCAATGATCATGAGAACAGTAAGGAATCATCCCAGAACTACACATGAGGATCTTGTCAATGATCTCCAGGCAGCTGCCACCACAGTTACCAAGAAAACAACTGGTAACACACTACGCCAACAAGGATTGAAATCCTGCAGTGCCTGCAAGGTCCCTCTGCTCAAGAAAGCACATATCCAGGCCCGTCTGAAGTTTGCCACTGAACATCTGAATGATGCAGAGGACTGGTTGAAAGTGTTGTGGGCAGATGAGACCAAAATCGAGCTCTTAGGCATCAACTCAACTTGCTGTGTTTGGAGGAAGAGGAATGCTGCCTATGACCCCAAGAACACCATCCCAACTGTCAAACGTGGTGGAAACATTCTGCTTTGGGGGTGTTTTTCTGCTAAGGGGACAGGATAACTGCACCGCATCAAAGGGACATTGGACGGGGCAATGTACCATCAAATCTTGGGTGAGAACCTTCTTTCCTCAGCCAGGGTATGGAAAATGGGTCATGGATGGGTGTTCCAGCATGACAATGACCCAAAACACATGGCCAAGGCAACAAAGGAGTGGCTCAAGAAGAAGCACATTAAGGTCCTGGAGTGGACTAGCCAGTCTCCAGACCTTAATCCAATTGAAAATCTGTGGAGGGAGCTGAAAGTTCTATTTGCCAAACGTCAGCCAGCAAGCCTTAGAGACTTGGAGAGGATCTGCCAAGAGAAGTGGGCCAAAATCCCTCCTGAGATGTGTGCAAACCTGGTGGCCAACTACAGGAAACATCTAACCTCTGTGATTGCCAACAAGGGATTTGCCATGTACCTGGTTGGGGAGCCTGCCGTGGAGAGGAGGGTGTCCTCTTACCACTCCTGCTCGGGACCCCTGATAGGGTAAACAGAATGCACTGAGACAGAAAAGGCACGAGTACCTGGTGGGTCTGAGGTGACAGCAGGCAGGTGATGACCCAGAAGACCAGGACGCAGGTCAGTTGCAGGTGAGCGGGTGCAGCAACAGGAAGGTATAGCGGAGGGTTGGACAACCGCGGGCAGCTGGCAGCCAGAGATAATCGCAGGCAGGAGAGATTGCAGCATCAGACAAGCTGGGGTCAGGATCAATCGGGCAGATCAGGTACAGGGAGCAGGCAAGCAGATAGTCAAGGAATGAGCTGGGTCAGTGCAGGCGGAGTTCAATCGTGGTCAGGTCAAATCAGGTAGGTAACAGGAATTGGGATACAAAGCAATAAGCACAGAATGTAGTAGACCAGAAGGCATAGGTTTAAGTGCAGCAGGGGTTTAAAAACCCCGCCTGTGCACGCCGGTATGCGCACAGCTGCATGCGCATTGCCACGCCCGACAGGCACCCAGCGTTGGCTCACAGATGTGCGCCGACGCGAAGCTTCTTTACCCTAACAGCCACCAAGTACTAAGTCATGTTTTGTGAAGAGGATCAAATATTTATTTCCCTCATGAACATGCATATCAGTGCATAATTTGTTAGACATGCATTTCTTCTGAATTTTTTTGTTGCTATTCTGTCTCTCAGTTTTACAATACACCTACCATTCGATTTGTAGACTAATCATTTCTTTGCGAGTGGGCAAACATTCAAAATCAGCAGGGGATCAAATACTTATTTCCTTCACTGTAGGTATCCCTTCTTGCCTATACAGTGGGGATCGAAAGTTTGGGCACCCCAGCTAAAAATTTGTATTTATGTGCATAAAGAAGCCAAGGAAAGATGGAAAAATCTCCAAAAGGTATCAAATTACAGATTAGACATTCTTATAATATGTCAACAAAAGTTAGATTTTATTTCCATCATTTACACTTTCAAAATAACAGAAAACAAAAAAATGGTGTCTGCAAAAGTTTGGGCACCCTGCAGAGTTAACATCTTGTACTGCCCCCTTTGGCAAGTATCACAGCTTGTAAACGCTTTTTGTAGCCAGCCAAGAGTCTTTCAATTCTTGTTTGAGGTATCTTTGCCCATTCTTCCTTACAAAAGTCTTCCAGTTCTTTGAGATTTCTGGGCTGTCTGTCACGCACTGCTCTTTTAAGGTCTATCCATAGATTTTCAATTATGTTGAGGTCAGGAGATTGTGAAGGCCATGGCAAAACCTTCAGTTTACGCCTCTTGATGTAATCCCCCGTGGATTTCGAGGTGTGTTTAGGATCATTATCCATTTGTAGAAGCCATCCTCTCTTTAACTTCAGCTTTTTCACAGATGGCATCAAGTTACCATCCAAAATTTGCTGAAATTTTATTGAATCCATTTTTCCTTCTACTCGTAAGATGTTCCCTGTGCCACTGGCTGCAACACAACCCCAAAGCATGATTGATCCAACCCCATGCTTAACAGTTGGACAGAGGTTCTTTTCATTAAATTCTGTGCCCCTTCTTCTCCAAACGTACCTTTGCTCATTCCGGCCAAAAAGTTCAATTTTTTTTTTTTGTTTACAAACGATTTTATTGTACATAAGTAGACAGTAAAACAACAGCACAGTATGAAAGTGATATTGTCAACAAAAATATGGCACATTTGAACCGTACAATACATAAAAGTATATTAACATAAAAAAGAAGATAGAGGAAGAAAGAAAGTTATGAGTGCATGAGATACATAATGATAAAACAGATTGAGTGATACAGCTATCAACAATATATGTCAGCCATTCCTTATTGGGGATGTTGTCAATCATGCAATAAATGTCTACAATCCTTCCATGACTCCCATTTTTTTATCGTATAAGTGCATCTTATCCAGTAGTGTATAATGAATACGTTCCATAAGCATTACAGCGTCAATTCTGTGTAAAACAGAGTCCAAGGGTACAGCATTAGACCGCCAATGCAGGGCAATGGACCACAAAGTGGCAATACATAATGTATGTAGCAATCTCAGAGTGGCATCAGAGACCCCTGGGATATGAACCCCCAATAAACAGGTCTGTATAGACAACTGTATCGGGTTGCCCGATAGTGAGGTAGCCACCTCAGATATCTTACGCCAGATCAAAGATATGTTTGGGCAATCCCAAAACATATGGACCAAAGTACCTGTGCGGCCACAACCCCGGAAACATAAAGGGGATGTTTGTGGGAACATTGTATGTAGTCTGGACGGAGTATAATACCATCTGGTTAAAACTTTAAGGGCCGTCTCACGAACCGAAAGAGATCTAGAGCTCTTGCATATATTATCCACCATGGAGTCCCAATCC